TATGAGTTCTTACGTGGAACTACGGCATCGCAGACCGCGCGAAACATAAATGGTGTATTTGGTTCTAATGTAACTACTCAGCAAACAGTATCAAAATGGTTTGCCAAATTTCGGAGTGGTAACTTTGACCTCACAAATGATCCACGCGGTCGCCCAGAATCAAAGGTCAATAATGACGTACTAAAGGTCACCGTTGAGTCTGATCCATCTCAAAGTGCTTATGAATTATCATTAAAGTTCGGTGTAAGCAAACAAACAATATTAACTCATTTAGCTGAAATCGGGAAAGTGAAAACGTTAGATAAGTGGGTTCCTCATGAACTGAACGAAAACCAGAAACAAAAGCGTTTGGAAGCTTGTTTGATGTTGCTTTCTCGCCACAAATCTGATCCATTTTTGAATCGAATAATCACTGGTAATAAGAAATGGATTCAATATGACAATCGCAAGCGTTCAGCGCAGTGGTTAGACAAGAACGAATCTCCAAAACATACTCCAAAGCGTAGTATTCATCAGAAGAAGTTGATGGTCAGTGTTTGGTGGACTTGTGCAGGTGTAATTCATTACGAGTTCATGAAACCAGGCTCATCGATCACAGCAGAAATATACTTTAAGCAACTAGACAAAATGATGCTAGGACTTTAAAAAAAAGCAGCCTAGATTGGTCAACAGATCGACTCCTATCTTACTGCAAGATAAAGCCAGACCACACACCGCGCAAATGACCGTGGCAAAACTATAGGAATTGGAGTTGGAACTTCTTCATCATCCTCCATACTCGCCAGATCTAGCTCCCACAGACTACCACTTCTTTCGTAATTTGGGACAACTTCTTGGTAGGAACAAATTTCAATTCCGATAATGCAGTAAAATTTGCCTTCCAGGAATTCATAGACTCTCGTACATCAGGTTTTTATACCACCGGGCTGAACAACCTGCCGCTTAAATGGCAACAATGTGTTGATAATTTGTGCGCATACTTAAATGAGTAAAATCGTTTCTTGTGTTTATAAATTATCAGCAAACTTTTCCTATTTTTCTACAAATTTCATACTTGACGACCTGACATAAACTTCTATTAAAGAATAAACTAAATAAAGCAGTAGCTTTAATGAATATGTATATATTCTCCCGTTTTTCTGTACAACGACCCGTCTTAGCCAACGGTCCGATTTTTTCTCCCCATCGGCCCGGCTCGTCCCTGCAAGGCCAGCCTCCACCACACTGCCAGCGCTTATCTCCAAACCTAAACATCTTGCGTTCTTCGAACCCGAATCGAACGAACCCATCTCTGCGTTCCGTTACAAGAAGTGGATGAGAATGTGTGATATACGTGGACACTGATAGTAAAAAGACTTGTATTTCTACCTTTATTTACAACGTTGAATATCACCGTGGATAGCATTTATTGATTGTTCTGTTTCGTGTTTATTTATGGAGTTAAAAAGACACGGTTTACGTTGGAAGTGATACATTGAAATGGGCCCATTTAATGTATTTTACAGTATTCAGTATATGACAATCCATAAAGTAGCAGAAGAGAGGATATAAATAATAATATTGTAAATAACCAAGGGAGTTAGTAAATAATGAAATGAGGAAACAATCATTTTAATAGTAAATAGATTATGTACTTATAATTTCTTTAACGTAGCATTATTAATATTGCGCCATGCAAGGCAAACATTATTGATTCGATTATATTACCAAAAACTTTTATTACTGTAAAACACCCTGACAAGGAAACATAGCAAACTTCGAGAGAATAATCTTCATATCACAATAACATAACACTGAACATTTTTAGAAAGACTACAATATTTTTGCTTTTATTTTATTATGTGACCCAATAATTTCTATACTGGGTCTACAAAAAATAGTATATATAGTAATCCTCTCTTTACCAAATCCACCCACAAAGGGGTATCCTTAGAAAAGAAAAATTATGTCAAGGTTGAAAGGACTCGCTTCAAATAACTACACTTATACCAGAATAAACGGATTTCTAATTGCGAGCGCGGAATCCATCTCGTGGAGATTGACCGAAATATATTGATGTAGTGTTGGTTTATGTATACATGTGAGCAAAATATTTATCAGGTATGTACGTCTAAGCAGATGTCACCGCATATAAGAAGTGGATGAGAATGTGTGATATACGTGGACACTGGTCATTTCTACTTTTATTTACAATGTAATTATCATCGTGGTCAGCATTTATTAATTGTTCTGTTTCGTGTTCATTTAAAGAGTTTACGTTGGAAGTGATACATTGAAATGTTCCATTTAATGTATTCTACAGTATTCAGTATATGACAATCCATAAAGTAGCAGAAGAGAGGATATAAATAATAATATTGTAAATAACCAAGAGAGTTAGTAAATAATGAAATGAGGAAACAACCATTTTAACAGTAAATAGATTATGTACTTATAATTTCTCTAACGTAGCATTATTTAATTGCACCATGCAAGGCCATCATTATTGATTCGATTATATTACCAAAAACTTTTATTACTGTTAAACACCCTGACAAAGAAACATAGCGAACTTCGAGAGAATAATCTTCATAGCACAATAACATAACACTGAACATTTTTAGAAAGACTACAATATTTTTGCTTTTATTTTATTATGTGACCCAATAATTTCTATACTGGGTCTACAAAAAATAGTATATATAGTAATCCACTCTTTACCAAATCCACCCACAAAGGGGTATCCTTAGAAAAGAGAAATCATGTCAAGGTTGAAAGGACTCGCTTCAAATAACTACACTTATACCAGAGTAAGCACATTCCCAGTTGCGAGTGCGGAATCCACCTGGTGGTAGGTAATCGAATTATATTTAATAGAGCGTTGGTTTATAGATATACAGTGACTCGCATTAATATTCGGACGCGATATTGTTAGAAGAATTATTGCTCCTTTTCATTGTTTATGGTAGTATTATTGAATCAATTGTTTTCTCATATAATAAAGCACTTCTTAAAGTAAGTAGAAACATAAATTTTGTTTATTTATTGCACATGTTCTTTTGCATAATAAGCGATAAACAAGATTGTGACAAAATTTAACGTCGTAAAAATATTCGGACACAACATCTTATATGCCAGAGTAAAATACTGTCCTACATTGACAAAGACGCTAACACACATTGTTTATAAACAAATTTTATAAGCGAATAAAAATTCGTTGTGAGAACTCGGTACCACAGAAAGTATAGGTAAATCGGACGCATTACTTGTGAAAATGAGACGAAAAGGAAGAAATGTCTTTTGAAATCCAACAATTGGTTATTTATCACAAGGAAAAGGGAAAATCATACAGAGATATAGCCAAATTATTAAATATAAGCAAGAGTTGTGTTACAGATATTACACGTCGGTACATTCGTGAGGATTGAGTCGATTTAATCCTTCAGAAAGTTTGTGTCCAAAATTAATAGACTCTCGCGACAAACGCAAGATAATAAGAAAAATTTAAAAAAATTCTCTGGACAAAGTACTACAAGTTAACAAAGGGGAATTGTTCGCAGACTCTGGGAAGAAGGTACACCCGGACACAGTGCGAAGGGTATTAAAAACTTATGGTGACAACGGAAGAGTTCCTCGTAGAAAGCCATACATAAATGAGCAAATCGCAAGAAAAGATAGAGCTTTGCAAAAGAATATTTTTACGAACTGGTGGTTGAATGATGTAATATTTTCGGATGAAAGCAAATTTAATCTTTACGGATCCGACAGTCGAAAAATGGCGTAGCGTAAAGTAAATACAGAATTAAACATTTCAAATTTAAGTAAAAGACGGTGATAGTGTGGGGCAATATATAGTGTGGGGTTATATCTCGTCCGTAACTACGGTGAACTAGTTTTTATCGATGGTATTATGGACAAAATGAAGTATTTGGACATTTTAAAAAAAAATTTAATTACAAGTGCTATAAATATATGGGTATACGTACAGTTTTAAGTTTTATCAGGACAATGATCCTAAACACAAGGCCATAATTGTACAGGAATAATTATTATACGATTGTCCAAAAGTACTGCATCCTCCTCCTCAATCGCCTGATTTAAATCCAATTGAAAAATTATGGGATCAATTGGACAGCAAAATTCGTACAACACCTACAAGGACAACAACAAAGATAAAACAACGTTTGTTAGACGAATGGAAATGGATTTCGCCGGAGTATTTAAATAAAATCATCTGTAACATGCCCAAACGATTACATGAAGCAATAAAACAAAAAGGTCAACCCGCAAAATGTTAATATTATGATAACATGATTAAAAAGATTTTCATTTTATATAAAATTAATGTAATTCACATTCACTGTGTCCGAATATTTTTGCGACGTTAAATTTTGTCACAATGTTGTTTATCGCTTATTATATAAAAGAACATGCGTAATAAATAAACAAAATTATATAAGTATATATATCTATATATAGATATTAAAGTAAGTATAATTACTTAATAATATAATAATAATATAACAAATATAATAATATAACAAAATTTAACGTAATATATATGTATATATAATTATCTTACTATATACACTGGATTTACGAAACCCGTCAAAGTGACGGGTCACTAATTTTTTAATTTACAATTCTTTATATCATAAAGATACATTTATGAGTAATTTATTCAATTTATACATATATTACTTACAGCAAATGTTACAATAACAGTTGTTAAAAATCAGAATAAATGTCTTATTGTTACTTTTATAAACTAATATAAAACAGGTGCTTTTTGTGGTCCGTAAATCTAATGTTAAATCGAACTCCTTTCATTAATAAATTTATTATTTCTGTCTTCTTAATACTAAAACGACCGTTCACGAGATTTCTCGTGTTTCAATGCTGAGAGGTAAAAGACTGGCAATGAGATTTCTCGTTTTCATCTCTTTTCTCTAAAAATTATCTGTTCCAACAGCAGTTGCTAAGCATTACAAAATATTTGAACGAATTCACATGTTGCAGGATTCAATGTGTATATACATACATCTTCAGCTTGTTGGACACTGTTTGGTATTCTCATAATTTCGATTTAAATTGAAATAATATACGGTCATCTAAATGTTAATATTTATAACAATTCTGTAAAATGGACTACGTGAGCATTCCAACGTTTCATACGAAGGTCACCAAACAACTTTACCTACGGCTTTCGTCTTCTTTTCGGTTAATTTTTATTGTATGTATACTAGGTGTCCCATAAAGTCACTCGCAATTAGGAAACGAAGGGCTCCTGAAATCATTTAGATGACGTCCAATTCTGGACATTGGCTCGGCCGCCTCGCACCAGTTGATCTCGTCTCTCATTGGTTACTGTTTTTCGTTAAATAATTCGTAAACAAAGCCGCGGATCGCGTTTTCGGTAAGGAAAAAGTTGCTTCAAATGACCTCAGGAACTCCTCATTTCTCGGAAATACGATACTTTTGGGACGCCATGTTAATGTGCAAAAAATAGCGATGACCTTCAATGCTTGAAAAGAATGACCTTGAACGAAAAAAATACACGAATCATAATATTTGTTGCTTTGAGATAAACATAGTTGTCCTGGCACATTTTTTGATATCAACAGAAATAACAAAGACATTTTAATGTTCAGGATAAAATAAACACCCTGTACTGTACAAGTTCAATGATATCGTTGGTCCATATTTTTCTGAAGCATATTTCAGCGATCATTTTCGGAAAGCTTTCCGGTCATTTTTTCGGCGATGCTTTAAGTACACGTTTTTTATGTAAGCTACATGTGCTATCGATTCCACTTAAATTGCCGGAAATCTCAGTGATGTTGTAATGAGGAAACTGCCTGCAGCTGGGTGTGAGCGTACGTCTGAGAATCGTGTGTTCCGAGATTATCGGCACGATCCATCCAGCGTCTCTCACCTGAATCAGTCGTGGCTTTACCGCCGTGGATCGCGCACGCGTTCCTCTCTTCTCTCACAAGGACGAATAAGCGTTTTACCTTTTCGGTTAAAACAGGAGAATTATCAAATTCCGCTAATTGTAGGTAGACCATTCCCATTCAATTAATTCATAACTGTCGTCGATCACGATTTGATGGCCGATGACCGTAGGTTCTATTTATTTATAATAGATGCAAATGCTGAACAACTAAATAAACGAAATTTAAGCAAAGATTAATAGAGCGTCTGTCTAAGTTTTCTTTGTCAAAAGTGTCTTTCGTTTGTGGAAACGATTTCTCTGTAATTCGAATTTTGGTAGTAATTTATTATATTTGAAAACAGATACCGATGCAAAGCTTTGTTTGTGTGGCACACCTTTTCTCATATAACAAAACTTCTAACGAGTGAAATTCACATTTGCTTGATCACCGTTTTTCAGAAATTGTTTGAAGACACGAATGTTCACTGTGCGGCATAGAACATTTAACGGATAGGAATCGTAAAGTGAATGAAGAAACTGTATCCATCGCTATTTTGTAATAAAATTTAATGATACGTATTCGAATTATATTTTGCAACTGATAAATTACTTGTTTTTAAATGTTACAAATTTTCTACGGTATGAAAAGAATCTTCAAGTTTGAAATCGCCTGTCGAATAACAAGATAAGATATATTATAGCAAAAAGATTTAATCAATTATAAAAACGATAATTAAGATTGATAGCTTATCATTTCGTTTAAATTCAAGTTGCGAAGCTAATTTATAAAGAGATCTAAAAGTGCTAATAATATTTTAACATTAATCACCGCAACTACCATTTATTTTAGTATTCGATTCATGTCATTCGGTGAGAAAATACGGAAGTTTGTTTTAAACAATTCTATTATCTTATCAATTATCTCGCGATTTATGTCAGGCTAAATAGAACTGTGAAATCACTTATGTTAATCGTTTGCAGTACATTGCATATTCCAACTTGTTGACAAGTGCTATGACACGCTGATTATGACTATTCATTTTTTATATTGCCAGAAGGAACTATCTGAGCAACTAATACTCTATACTGAGCAACT